GGGGGGGGGGGGGGGGGGGTGCCGAAGACGAAGCGCCGGGAAGACGAACGAACGGCATCATGCCGAACGGAGGACGGGCGCCAGAGGGAAGACGGGGGTGGGCAAAGGGAGCGGAAGGGGTTCCGAGAAGAGGGGCCGCTGCGGTCGCCGTGAACGGGCGTGGAGGGAAGGGCGCCAGCCCGTACGGCGAGAGACCGAACGGTGGATGGAAGAACGGAGGGATGAACGACGGAGGAGGGGCGGCGAAACGTCCACCGCCCATCGCTGGCGGCGCCGGGGCTAGCGGCGCCGGAGCCGTGCCAACGCGGCCGCCGCGGAGCGGGCCTGGCGGTACCTTCGGCGCTCGGCCCAGCAGCTTCCTGGCCTTGCCGCTGACGACGGGCGACGCCTTGCTCCCAGCCGCCGCCGTCGCCGCCACTGCCACGGCCGGTGCCGGCGGAGACGGCTTCGCTGGTCGCGGCCGCATTGAAGACGGCGTTGCATCGGGCTGAGAAGAAGTCAAGGCGTGAGAGTTTGGCGTAGGGGAAGGAGGAGCGGAGGAAGTAGACGGGCCGGGGGAAAAGGTGGCCGCAGCGGCTCCGCTCCCGCCGCCCTCGCCACTGCCGCCGCTGCCGCCGCCGCTCACGCGGTCCCTCCAGGCCGTCGGCACGAACGGGGAGCTGCTCGGAATGTGCGGCGAAACCTTCTCGTGGCTGCGCATACCCGCGTACAGAAGCGTTCCCAACCCGCCGTCGCCGCCACCGTCGCTGCCGCCGCTTTCGCTGCCGCCTCCGTGCTGGCTCTTCCTTTTTCGGGACTTTTGCTTTCGTCTGGTGGAAGGTGAGGACAACGACGTGGTTGTTCCCGATGGGAGACCTGCACACGGGCTCCTCCTCACCCCTCCCCGACCCTGCTGCTGCCCGTCAGCAACGGCAGCGCCGGAGGCACCGGCTGCACCGGCACCAGTACCGCCGTGTTCACCAGCGGGTTGTGTCTCGGTGGCGCTGAAGCCGGGAAGCAATCTCACCGCCCCTCCAGGGGCGACTCTCATTGACGAGGACCTTGATGCTTGTGCTGATGCTACTCCTGATGCTGCGCAACCCTCCGCCTGGGGCTGCCGCTCCTTCTGCTTCTGCTTGCCTTTTCCCTTCCGAGCCGCTCGTTCTCCTTGAACGGCTTGCTGCTCCATTTTTGTTTTATTTCGGAGGAGCAGGGTAGAAGCAGCGTGAGAAAGAGGGAGAGAGGGGGAGAAAGAGAGAGAGAAAGAGAGAGGAACAGAGAGAAGCAGATAAAAATGCTTTCGTCATCGCCGAACGAGAGCGTTGGGAGCAGCGGGAAGGTAGGCGCAAGAGGCCTGCAACACGCTGTCGTCGGGGTGTGAGAACAGCACAGGCCGGTCATGGCTCGGCATAAGAACAGAGCGCTCCGGCAGGTGCGCAGTGGTACGGGTGCAACGCAGCCAGCAACGAACGAGGCACCTCTCCAAAGAAGAAATTTCCCCGTTTCGGAGAAGGTGACATATTTCTACTGCCTGGCGATTGTGAACAGACACGTGTATTTTATATCTGTACGCGTGTTCGATATGTCTCAGAAATATACTACGCATCTACAGTATGCATAGGTACGTAGTCTCCACGGTGACTCGAAAGCCATACGTTCGAAAAGTCACACCAACGCCGCCGAGTCAACCTGAAACGCCAATACATGGCAGCTCCCGAACGTCGCACCTCATCACCGGTTGAGGCGCTTTCGCTGCCGCTCTCTGCTGCTGAAGGCGTGTCCGGTGTGGGCATCGGAGGCATCCAATCCTTGGGGGCATTCGGTATTGGCTCGTCGGGTGCGGCCATAAACTGGCGCAGCCGCATGAGGTTCTTGTGGAGCACTATCTGAAGGCTGAGGGAGTAGGGCGCGCACGAGGGGCGAAGAGACAGGCAGGCTATCGTCAACTTCAACGCACCTCACTGATATTTCTGACTAGCCTCGAGATGCGGCGACACTCGACGACTGCTGTTTTGCCGACTACCGTCTGTCTGGGGCGCTTAGAGCAGTGCAAGGCAGCTCACCAGCGTATCACGCCTCCACACAAAGCCTCGTCTTGCGCACTAATTATGGCGTGTCTTTCATGTTAGCGTAGCATCGACCGCTAACCGGCCGGCCAATGAAAATCTCGGCTCTGCTGTGTGTGCATGAGCGAGCGAGAGAGAGAGAGAGAGAGAGAGAGAGAGAGAGAGAGAGAGAGAGAGCACCCAACCCCGTTTGTCGCCGCCAAGGCGAGGATTGCATCTTGTTACAGGGTACAGGGGGGAGAGAGTGAACGTCCCATGTTTCCTTATGTACAATAAGGCAACTAACGTGTTTTTTGTTTCGCGCTCCGACGAACACGAAAGACGCGTCTTCAAAAAGTGTTCCAAGGAGACAAAGTCGTGGTCCATATGCGTCCGTAAATTGAGCACCCTCTCGTTCGACCGCGTGTTTGGGTGTGTTCCCAGGATGTCGTTTACTATATACTGCTGGCTACAGCGGTAATTGCGGTGTACCACTGCTGTACACTGGTAGGTACGAAGAGAAGCTCTCAATATGTAGGAAATAGTACTTGCGTTTACATCGCACTACGTTATCCTCAAAGAAACCGGGCCATACGCACTTGTGGGACTGGCCTTTCAACAAACTTGCTCCTCACAGCAGTGTAGCAGCGGTGACCACTGCTGTTGCATGTAGTGGCTCTCTCTATCCCGTGTGCTGATTCTAAGGCACACCATTGTACTGCTGTAGCCTTAATCTCGTGAGGGCACATGCTGCTGTACCAACAACCTACACCTACATTTACGTGCATATGTCTATAGTAGTGCACAACAGCAGAGCGTAGTCAAGTGATCAAGGGAACATGGGTCAGTAGACAAGGACTTTGAAGCCGTCCGAAAGCTGTCATGGCAAAGATGCAGCCCACGCCGAAGCCAACACCAACATTGTTCAATACAACGCGTGCTTGTTGCAACACATTCACCGGACCATTTTTCGAAAATTCAAAAAACGTCTCACCTGGTGGCATCAGCCAGGGCGCCCTGTTCCTGCTTTTCACGGATCAGGACCATCAGGTCCGCGTTTATTTCTAGTAGCTCATTCTCGGCAATTGTCATGACCGCCTTATTGCCGCGCTGGGTGCCGTGGCCAGAACACAGTACACAGCATTGAGAACACAATGCACACCGTCACACAGCCAGTGTTATTTGGTTTATAATTTTTTTGTTTTTTTATTGGTCCTTGCTCCGTCAGTACGAGACGCCCACCGCGCGGTTGGTGTCGCAGAAGAGACGATCCGCTAGAAGGTGCACTGCTGAAGGGTAGAGGAGAAGAAACGACGCGAATCGGTCCACAAGGCCCGACGTAACACTGGTCAAGGCGGCTAAACAGGTACGCCGGGCACTCGCAGATGGTATCCTGTTTTCTTTTTGACCCCCCCTCAAAAGCCCCCTGGGCAGCAGGCTGCATGCCACAGCAGGCTGCGTGTTCACAGAGCCGTAGGAGCCTCGTCGTCGCCAACAGGCATAATCGAACCTCGGTATACTGTTGTCACACTCACACTTGAGGTGCTGGTGCAAGTTTTGGGCGTTCGGTAGCTATCTGTGCTTCAAACCGAAGCTACCTCGCAAGAGGGCCTCAGCAGGGCTTCAACACGCGGAGCATCTCGGTGCAGTCGGTGCAGCAGCGGCACCAGGCCCAGGTTTGCCTTACGAGGAGAATCTTGCGGTCTCAGCGGGTGCGTCGTATAGGTCAGGGTCTGTACTTGCTCAGGCTGAAACAGCATCGAGGATTACCAATTGTAGACGCCAATACCGGCGATTCGGCCAGCAGCTATATACCGCCATTTTCAACGGTTTTTTCGGTTTTTCCAGGATGGTCCGGCAGCGCCGCGCCTCGTGTGGCAAAGTGGTGCACGGCAAAGAACCGGCAGCGGCAGGGGAGCTTCGGCGATGCTTCGCATGTGACCGCCCCGGTAGCCGCGACGGGTGCTCGACCAATTGGCAGCACGTGGTGGACTCCGAATACTGGGCGGAGCTGGGCGAGTGGTCTGCAACGGTAGGGGAAGGGTGGACTCATGAGCGCGACCTTGTAGGAGACCCTCTCAAGGCGGGAGAGTGCATCTGTCGCCGCGCCGACTGTGTGGTTAATTTGTACCAAAGGTACAAGGGGAGGCGCCAGAGGGAAGAGAAAGGAGCTTTGCACACCATGGTGATTGGGCAGCGGTCGCCGATGGGCAGGTACCCGTCGACGGGCTCCCAGGTATGACACCGCAGAAACACCACCTTTAGTGCGGCGGTGTAGGTGACTCATGCGTCCTGTCATATGCATCGATCTGGGCGAACTCTAGAACGTTGAAATTGTAGGAAGACGCGACAACGTTGACCCCCGTGAAAACTTTCACCCCGTTCTATTTTTTCTGGTCAAGTTATCCTTTCTACGTTCCCACGTGACTACGTAGATATGTATGTGAGTTTCTGGGATCGCGACCGTCACCATGTGCTGTTGATGGTGTAGTATTCTACCGAGTGGTGGACGTCCCATCTCTCAACCTTGCATCGGTAGCCCTCGCCTTACTCCTTATTTCTCGAGTGGCATTGTTCCCTTTTCCTTTGTTTTGGTTCTCACATAAGAAAATGGTAAGTAAGAGGATGCTGTGGTCGTGCATCGTTGTCTGTCCTGCCCGTGTTGGTCGAAGAGTCTCGTGGCAGGAGAGAGGGAGTCGACCCCACCCCCACAAGTCAACGGCAAAAGATATGTAGAGCGCCCGCGAGGAGGGTGGAAACAAACATATTTATGCTGCCAGCATGCCAGCATACTCCCTCTGCCAGGTAACACCTAACAAAATGAAGAAATATTAAGTACGAACGATTTTGCTTTCGCAATTTTCAGGTGCGAGCTCTTCTGGAACACATGGATCTGCAAGGCAGCGTACTGGATTGTTGTGGCTCGGCCCAAGACGCAGTGAAGACGGTCCTGAGTTCACACGGTCTCCGTGTCGCCACGAACGACTTGAATGGGTGGTATGTGTGTTGTGTGTCTCAGACCGACTTCGATGTCACCAAGCACTGCGGTTTTTTTCAGTGTTTGATTTCGAGATTTTGGCGTAAAGTTCGTATGCATAGGCTATGCTCAAACACACACGTAGCAATGTTTACCTGGCCGCGAATCAAATGGCGAATGTAATGCTTCACCACATGCATTTTTGCCGGCGCTCGTTTTTTTTTTTGCCCCCCTCCCCTTAGCTTGGTGGCCGATACCCACCTGGACGCCGCCACAGACGCTTTTGTCGAGGCGTACGTCGAGGACACGCGGCGTCCGGACTGGGTCGTGACGAGCCCACCCTACAAGAACGCCACCACCATTTTGAAACAGGCGATGCGGGTCGGTCGTATGGGAGTGGCCTTCAAGCTGAGGTTGACGTTTCTGGAGCCCACCAAAACCAGAGGGCGGTGGCTAAAGGAAAACGCGCCTGACCGGATAGTGGTGCTCCCGCGCGCTACGTACCGCGGAAGAGCGTGTAGCTCTACTGAGGCATGGTTTATATGGGAGACGGGGCGGGGGGGGGGAGGAGGCCGCGGGCCTGCTGTTTGCTTCTCGTTGCCTGACGGAGCTCTCTAGAGTAGACGTGCTTGTGTGAAGTTGCATAGCACTATGGTATTATTGGCATAGCAGTATATGTATGCTGGGTAAGTTGAATGGAAGTCTGCATGTTTGCTTCCCCGGGGCTACTACCGACGCCCCGCCTGTCCGCCCTGACGTGTTGGTGGTCCCTGTTGTTTTTTGGGGGGGGAAAGACGTCCGACGTTTGAAATAATTTTGGGCTGGAGAACCATGGCACAGCAGCTGACCCTGTTTTTCCTTGTGTACCTGCATGCACATGATGGATGGCCATGCCTATGTGTGCGCTATACGTGTGCGACTCGTGGCCCACAAGGCAGACATTGTTCTGGAAATGCACCGCAAATGAACTACTATGTTTGCTACATCGGGTTAAAATTTGCCCATGGAGCGTTGAAAAAAAAAAGGTCGCAGCCCACCCGCCGTTGTATTGTAACGTACCATCTTTAGTTCTCTGCCAAAAAAAACTGTACTGCTGCTGTATACCCCCCCCCCAACAAAAAAAAAACGCGTGCACATGTCTTGAACCTGGTACCACACCCTAGAAAAAAAAAGACTCGGTATGCACCAAAGTGTTGACCTCGAGTGTACGAAACACGCACGCATACATGTGCGCCAAGAAAAAAAAAATACGTGCACTGTGTGTTGAACACACGCACGCATAGAAGTGCGCCCAAAAAAATCCGCGTGCACATGTCTTGAACCTGGCACCACTCCTAACAAAAAAAATGACTCAGGATGCACCAAAGTGTTGACCTCGAGTGTACGACACACGCACGCATACATGTGCGCCCAACAAAAAAGACGTGCACTGTGTTGAACCTGGCACCACACACAACAAAAAAAAAGACACACACACCAAAGTGTTGACTTCGACTACACAAACCCATGTGTGCCCAAAAAAAAAACTGGACTGTTTTGAACCTGGCACCACACACAAAAAAAAAAAGACGCAGACACCGAAGTGTAGACTTCGACTGTACCACACACACGCAATTGTGCTGCGTAGCAAACCCACATGGCCGAAAACCACTTGTGGCAATTCTCATTTCTACGAGGAGAACACAACAGCCGAATGCAGCTGCACTCCGTTACGGTAGATCTTCGTGGGTCACGCAATGGGTTCCACCATTCACCTGCGAGAATAATATCGGACCGAGACACCGAAAAGTCGGGAAGGGGAATCTTCGCGTAAGCTGTTTTGCGGAAAAAACGCCTAACGAAACCCGGGCTAATGCCATGGTATCCCTGACAATGCTGGGGGGGACGCATAAGGCGCCAAAAAAAATGCGGGCTACCCGTTGTATTTTCGAAGTGTTGTTGGTGCAATATACCGTTTTTTGTTGTTGGAGGGGAGGCATATGATGAACCGGGCTGTGTTTTCTGCGCATGGCACACAGAAAGCCTCTCCTACGATATGTGCTAAATTTAATTGTCGCAAGGCACAAGCCGTTAAACTAACGGCGTTATATTGACGGTCGGATACCAACGCACATAACTAAGGCTCGTCGTCCACCAGCAAGTCTCCGTCGAGGTCGATCCCGATATCATCCATACCGTCAAGCGAATCGTCGTCTCCTTCGCTGTCCTGCGAGCCTTCCTCCCAAACGTCGTCGTAGTTATCTAGGAAATCGATCAATGCGCCAGGAGAAGTTGCTCGGTAGTACCTCGTATCATTTTTCGGGAATACATTTTACCAAGTAGGCGATGACGTCTCTCCCGTCCCCACTATACTACTGTGTTGTCTTGGAAAGGATGATCAGTCAGGTAAATTCGGCGGGATTCAGCTGCTCAAACATGCAAAGTACAAGTATGAAGAAGAAACCTTACGACAGTGTTGTGGTATGCGGGTGCTTGGGTGGCCCCTGAGGGGTAGCCAACATCAACAAAGTAGAATGTATATCTCGGCGCCGTCAACAATGCACAAGCGCAGCCGCTCACCCAAGCGACGCTGTGACTCCGATCCACCCTCCTCGCCGGGATTCCCAACATCTCCCCCTTCTTCCTCGGGTGTTTCCTCATCATCGTTTCCCACTGCTCCCGCGGGTGGGGTCGGACCCCCTGACTCCGACCCATCTTCCTCGCTGGGAAGCCTAACCTCCGCCCCCTCCTCATCGTGTGTTTCCCCCTCATCCCGTCCCACTGCTCCTGCCTGTCGGGCCGCCTCAGCGCGAGCTCCCACGTCTGACGTAAGTCCTCCCTGGGGATTCCCCCCCCCCCCCCCGCCTTGTGCGGGCGGCTCCCACCCTCCGTCAGCTGCATCGTCCTGATTCCGCGCTCCATGCCCCGTAGCCCCGTCTCCCGCCGGAGTCCGCGCACCCCCCAAAGCATCCCTAAGGAAGGCGTCGTATGCCAAACCTGCGCATAGATTTCGATGTACCGGTTGGTTGCACTACACGGTAGTGTAAAGACTCGTTAACATGATACCTTCCCTCCACCAAAAGAAAGGTATTTCAGTTATTATGAGTGGAATGAGGTACCGTGGAAAGCACTGGGCCATATCAGCCGCATTTTTCACTGCCGACTATCACAATAAAGCGTCGACGTATGTATGCTTATCCTGCGGAACTCTTCTTCTCGCAGAGAGGCGGACAAGGAGCGCGTTCATGATGTGTCATGAGCACAGCGTGATGTGCGGCGAGACTGCCGTGACTGTCTAGCTGCGGCGCGTTTTTCAAGGTCACTTCTAGTCACTTCGGCGATGTCCTCACCATTAGCCTTGCAGAACAGGCTACGCCGAAAACCTTGGCAATGTCAGTAGCCACGTACCTGATCCACCCAGCCGTGGTGCTCTTGCCTAGGATTATCCCCTCCTAGATAAGCTTTCCACCTCTCCGTCAGGCCTCTCGCCAGTTGGATACTGACGCCCAGTGATTAAGGCTTCGGGAGGAGGCGTGTTTTGTGTATAAGTTCTGCGCGCCAGCGGCGCATAAAAAAAAAAATTTCCTAAACCAAATAACACTGACAGCTATTGACACCTTGAGAGAGGGGCTCCGCAGAACGATTTTCATCTGGCTTTGAGGAGGGGTGATTGATATTTTCAGAACCACAGGCGCACCGCACAGCAGCACAGCCGCAGCACAGGCAGTGACACACCGCACGTCGTGTTATCTCCGCGTGCACACCATGGTGGTGCGAGCAACGAGGGTTCTTGTGGGCAGGTGCCGCCAGATGTCGGCCAGGTGATAAAAGTGATGCTCCAATGTGATTCTGTTCGAGGAATCACGCATCATCTTGCTCTCCAGTCGCGTATTCATATGATCCCGGTTTCTTCGCACTCGCTTTCTCGCTGTTATCCCACCTTTGTTCTTGGAAAGCCGCGAGGGCGTGAGATAGTGTGGTGCTTCCTCTGCAGTTGCAGCCTGCAATGCGTGTGCCATGGGTTGGCTTGGCTTGGGTCGCCTCAAAGAATGTAGTAGAGTGTATTACTTTACATCTCCACGAACGCTTCAGCTTGGGAATTGCAAATAGGTTCCCGACAGCATAGAGCAGGGAGCAACCACAACTGCTGTAACAGCAGTGGCAAACAGCATTTGTAGCTGTGTACCCAACGCACCTTGACATGTGCCTACTGGGAACCGTTCCTCGTAATTTGACGAAAGGGTTGGGCTACCACTGCTGTCCGGTTGGGTTGCATGGCTTAACGTTATTCTGGTTGGTGTTCTGGATGGATGCGGTAGAGTCCGTCGCGATCCCACAAATGAAGCATGAGCCACGAGGAGTCGTGTGCTTCACTGCAAGGACCACAAGCATGCATAGCGCGAACTCTTGCTGCTGAGAAGCGTTATTTTTTCGGTACCCACCATCTTCGCTAAGTAAACACTACGCCTATACGTCCCGGGTGGGCAAATGCAGTGTGGCAAGTGGCAAGTGCAACAGGGCGGCCAAACAAGTTGTTCCGCCCTCTCATGTGCGCCTTCGCCCCATTTGTTGGCGTGAAAACCAGCAGGTGCGCCGGCCAACGCCAACGCCACAGCCGCAACTACTACGGTGAGGTGCCCGTGCGGCTGTCGGCTGCGCGATGCCTCGCCACCGTCGCAGCGGCTCCACCCCAGCCCACGTCGTCGCTATCGTTCCCCGCGCGGCCTCACAGCAGCAGCACCGCATGTCGAAGAAGAAGCGGTGCAGCTTCCAACTCCACCAAGATACGATCCCCGTCGCCTCAGCAGCAGCAGCAGCAGCAGCAGCAGCAGCAGGGTCAACAACAGCGATCAAAGACACCGGCAATCTCTGCCTCGAGGAGAGCGCTGAGGGTTTACTCCTCTTCTAGCCCCAGTCAATGCCTACAGAGACAACGGTGGCGGGAGCAATACAAGACCGACGCCAGGAGCACCGGCGAAGGGGGAAAGGTAGAAAATGGGGGGGGGTACAGCAGGGGGAGGGCGACAGGAGCAGCCGCGATGGCGAGCGTTTTGAGGAGGAGGGAGAGAAGGGAGTCGGTTCGATGATTAAAAAGGTGTGTATCTTCGTGGCGGGGAACAGGTTGGATTTGGGAAGGGTTGGGACGTGTGGTCCGCCCACCTTTCTGTGTTGTTCGGGTGCACACAAGCTCCGGGTGTCTGATCAAGTTAACTCGGACCTACCACACACCCGCACTGTGCACTCATGATGTGTGTGGCTGTGACATGCCGCTTCCGCTTTTGTCACGGGGTCTTGGATGACGTGACAACGCCAAAAGTACCGTACCGCTTTTCCTAGTAGTCTTTCTCGCACGAGATTCACCTTCATCACCTTCATGGCGTTCTTAGCTCGTTGTGGTTGTTGTCGTTGTTGATTTGCACGCGAGTAGAGACCGCTCACACACCCATCCCGTCGATCGCGCGCCTTTCGCCTTCCCCTCTGATCCCTCTGTTTGGCGTGTAACTTCCACCCCATCCCCTCTCGAGGACGCGTGGTTAATGGTCTAACCGCTAAGGCATGGAAAACATAAGGTTAAGAGTACGCCATCCCTCCCTTCCTCAGCTGCCTGTCTTGCGCTTGGTGTGTCCTCCTCCGATGTCGTCGCGGAAAAGGAATCGGACCGTGTGTGGACTGTGCCCAACATGATCACCATGGGTCGGATAGCCTTCTGTCCTGTCCTGGCCGGCCTCATCGTCACCTCCCAGCACGAGCTAGCTCTCGCCGGTGAGAGGCAGGCCTTGGTCCCCGCAGACGCCTTTTTATCTCTCCGAGGGCGGGGTAGGGTATCTATCCCGCACATCCCGAGTGACTGAGTGTGTGTGTTGGTCCTGCCGCTACGTGGTGGTACAAGTTTGTCCTTGTGGCATATCTTTGTCCTTGACGTGTCACATCCGTCTCCTGTTGTGCGGGATTATCCTAGGAACTTTTTTCTATGCATGCACCCTGCGGGAAAATTTCGCGGGTTGGACGCACGACGGCGTCCGGTGGGCTTCTCTTGCCTCGTCGGTTTCTGTTATGTTTGTGCCTCACACTTGTACCATATCCTGCGGGCGCTCAGCGGCTTGCCCACGCCCTTTGTGCCTTGTTGTTCACTTGTTCTCTTTTTGGTCGTAGTCGATACGCTCGATGGTGCTCGTTTGGTCCGGAGATTACCCATGCAAAGCACGGATACGATTATATACATGTGTAGTCCCACTGGTGCTGTTGTTTCCGAGCTTCACCGTGCGTTGATGAAAACGGAAGCTGCCTCTCGTAAGATCGCTTGTGTGTGATGCTTGTCGTTGCTCTGCTGGTTTTTTCCAGGGTTGTTGGCGGCGAGCTTAACGGACTGGCTTGACGGATACATCGCACGGAAGTGGAAACAAACGGTGAGGAACAACGGCCGTCGTCGACGTCGCTGCTGCTGCTGCTGCTGCTGCTGCTGCTGCTGCTGCTGCTGTGTATAGCTATGTACAGCGCCGCCCCCTGCTTTGTTTTGAGACAACTACAATGCTCCTTCCGTTCGGTGGCACAGCGTTCCCACGCTGTTTCCTCCCCCCGAACTGATACAAGTGATGGGGTTCCTAACAAGCATGCCTGTTTCGCGGATAGAACATCGTGGGAACGAAGCATTTCGAAGGTATGCGCGTCCGCGAGAGAGGCATAAGTACCAGCAGCCGGACGCGTGACATACCGGTACCGCGCTGTTTCCCGGTTAAAGCAGCGCGGTATCGGGTGTGTCGAGGTATGTCACGAGGTCTTGCTGCTGGCATTTGGGCTTCCCGCGAATGCGCTTGCCTTCGAAGTGCTTCGTACCCGCAGCTTTTATGTTCGCGAACAGGCGTAGTTGCTAGGAATCACCATCATTGGCGGGGGGACAGAGAGGAAACGCTTTGCCACGGAAAGAAGAAGCTATACACAGCAGTCGCGACGTGTAGGAGCGGGTTCTCTTTTGGGGCTGCGCATCGTTTCGGGAAGCTGCGAGCCCTTCACTCCGCTATTTCTTTCCCGTCGCTCCTGAACAGTATCGTAGCGTCTATCTTAGACACAATGATATATAGCGCCCGACATGAAACACGACACCTGATGATTATTTCTTATCGAAACCGTTATTGTACGACATCACCCGTATGATGTTTCCTCCGTTTGTTCTCCAACCGCCCGCATCACAGTCAGTGCTTGGCGGGTTCTTGGACCCTTTGGCCGACAAGGTGATGGTGACCACGGTGGCACTGGCTCTGGGTCAGCAGGGAATCGTTCCTGCTGCTCTTGTGGTGAGGAAGGTGTTGAGGGAAATGGGTGGTGAGAGGGGATTGAGAGAGCGGGGGGTGGACGAGAGAGAGAGGGACACAGAGAGGAGCAGAGAAGGAGAGAGAGGGGCAACGAGACAGAGGAGGAAAGACAGACAGAGAGACACACGGAGAGAGCGGCATTGACGAAAGGCCAAGAGCTGGAGAAGAGCTTTGATGACGAGACCGCTGTTAACGACTCTCGCTGCTGTTTCGTCCTGTCCTTGCCCTGTCCAGGCACTAATGGTGGGGCGCGACGCGCTTCTCATCACGGGGTCCATAGCCTACCGCTTCAAAACTCGAAGAGAAGGAGACGATTTCTTCGACCTAGACTCCCTCGATTACAAGGTCACTCCCAGCACTCTCAGCAAAGTGAGGACGACGGCTGCTGCGCTGCTTGTTTGAATGAAAAGTTGCCGCTGCTTGTACCCACGTGGTTGTTGCTGCTGCTGCTACTGCCTCGGCCTGTTGTTGATATTGCCGCCGCTGCTGGACACCGTTGCTCGCAGTGTGGGTGTACAGATGTGCCGACGCTAAATATTTCTTTGTTGGAAGCACGTCTGTTAATGTCGCTCGATTCGCATGCACGACACAGGGTGGTTGCTGGCAATGACCTTGTCGCGCACCCAGCATGTCTTTTTTCCCTAAAACAGCAGCAGCAGCTTCAGAAAGAGAAAAGACACACCACGCCCTCCCCTCTGTCATCGCTCCCTCTCAACAGGTTTGGGCTGCCCTGACTTTCTTCTCCCCCACCCCCCTTTTTGTTGTTGTTGTCGCCATCACCGTGACAGGTGAACACCGTTCTGCAGTTCGGCACGCTCTGGCTGGGACTGACCAACTCCGTCTACCTCGTCCCAGGAGACGCCGTGTTTTCCGCCTTGTGGTAAGCGGGAGAACGAGGGATAGTGTGAGTAGCGTTGCACAACCAAAGTGGACTCTTTCCCGATCAGTCAGCGATACCCGGCTTCTAGCTTGCAAAGCATCTCTCGCAACTTAGGGCTTCTGTGACAACTGTGACAAACATTTGGTGATTGGTTACGATGCATCCTCGCCCCCCCCCCCCCC